ACCTCCCTTGGGTCCAAGAGTGATGAACGCGCTGCGAGCAGACCCCAAATCGGTGGATGTCAGAGCACAGGCGCAATGGTTCTACGGCATAGGAGAGAGGGTGCTCGAGTTGTTCGAGGAGGAAGGGGCGGTGGAAGTGTTGAGTGATGTGCGCTTGGTCCTTGCTGCGCCCTCAATACTCCCCTGCTGACGATCTCTAGACGTTCCAAAAGCGCGCCATGGAGATTGCAGACAAGGCGCAAAACACCCGCACTGTTCAGCAGGGCGCAGGCAGTGGCGATTTCCTGGGCACTCTGGATGAAACAGAACGATCACGCAAGTATTACTTCCCTTTGTTGCCAGTCGACTCGCTAACGAGTGCGCAGTGTTCCGTGCTGCTCACGATGGCACTAATGCCGTGAAGAAGTGGCTTGACCACACCAGCAAAACATAAGGACCGCGGACGTGAGGTACGGCGACGAGATACCAGACTGCTCGCAGAGTCTCTATAGCGTCGCACGCTACGCAGAACGTGGAGAAGCAACGACAGCATGTGATCTGGGTCTCACGTGCAGCAGATGCGAGATTCCGCGTGCGGTGCATCGATGATTCGCGAGAGGCCAAGGCTTGTGGCGACTGGCCACACTGAGCTGATTCAGGAGATCCCAGTCCACGCTCAACTCTCGTAGCAAGAAAGCTGTAACCAAGAGCAGTAAGGCTTGTTCGCCTTTTCCCTCTTCTAGCCACATCCTTGCATCGTTGCAGATTCTCCCCATGTCGTTCACCAAGGCTGCTCATTTCGGGTACATCTCCCATGCGTATGGGTGCCAAGGTGGGTGCATGAAGTGGCTGGCCTGTCATCAATGTTATGTGAAAATTTGTCAGCGGAGGTTGCTTCCAGAATTGGAAAGTGGCGTTGACAACTGTGCGGCTGCATCCACCTCGCCTCGGGACAAGACATACCTCCAACGACACATGCTGAGTCGGTGAGACGTGCCTCGCTCTTGAATGTAGTCACAAACCCACCATCATCTACATCGCCGCGAAGAAGTCTACGAATTCGGGACGCCGCATATCCAAACATCCGCCCGCTACGATGCCTCTCACCGTGCTCAGCGACCACGATGTGAGTCGCATCCTGCATTCCTTCACCAAAGAGGATATCCTCGCCCTCCAAGAGAACATGGCAGACGCCCTGCACTGGTATTCTACGTCCAACGACGATAATGATTACTGCTCCGACTTCCAACCGGAGCGCGTGCAGCTGAAGCGAAAGGACGGCTCGACCACGCTTTTCCTGCCGGCAAACGGATGCAAGGGACAAGGCGTCAAGATCATCAATGTCGTCCCTCCGGATGCCCTTGGAGGCCTGCCCAGTTTGGAAAATCTATCGCTCGACAGCGAGATGTCCAGCCGCAGCTCAATCTCAAGCGGAATTGACAGCCCAAGAACCACGCCACGCTCTCCGTCCGTATCCACATCTGACACACGCTCCTCCGTGTCAAGTCTTCCAGACGTCTCCGTAGATGCTTTGGAAGGCGGCGGCCCGGGTGATGTCCTCGACAAGTCCGTCTCTACGATCCGCGGATCGTTGACGCTGATGGACCAGCTCGGCAACACCATAGGCCTCATCAACGCGGAAGAAGTCACCGCATTCCGCACCGCCTTGTGCTCCACCATGATGCTGAGAAAGCGGCATTCTGTTCACGACCTGACCGTCTTTGGCGCCGGAAAGCAGGCGTATTGGCATATTCGCTTGGCCCTTCTGCTTCGCGGGGACGAAATCCACCACCTCAACATCATCACGCGCAAGTTCGAAAGCGCTCGGAAATGTGTCATGCGGCTATACAACCCCCAGCCCGATGACCCGGGATACGTCAATCCTATAGGATCAAAGTACAACAGTCGGGCCAAGAAGAACATTCTAACCCCCGCGCACACCGAATACCAACGGCTGGTCAAGGAATATGTTCGAGCGAGCAATGTCATCTTCTGCTGCACTCCGTCCGAAAGCCCCTTGTTTCCTGCCAGCTATCTGATCAATCCGGAGGGCCGCAAGAAGGGGCGATACATCGCCTGCATTGGCAGCTACAAGGCAAACATGATTGAGTTGCATCCGGACGTACTGCGCTATGCTGTGGCTCCTCATCACGAACATCGCCACATCCATAAGCGGCAGAAAGAAGGCGGCGCCATCATCGTCGATAGTGTGACCGGCTGTCTAAGAGAGGCCGGAGAGGTCGTGCAGGCAAAGCTACTGCCCGATCAGGTCGTGGAGCTTGGAGAACTCTTCATGTTGAAGAAGGAGGCCGAGCGGAAGTCGAGGGAGAAGGGACAACATGCGGAGGGCGGATGCGCGTTTCAGGACAATAGCGGCCTGATGGAGTGGCTGACTCGCGGGAATGTCATATATAAAAGCGTTGGACTTGGGCTCATGGACATTGTGGTTGGTGGCTTTATGATTGAGTGGGCAAAGGAGAGGGATATCGGAACGACAATACCCAATTTCTGAACAGGGGAAGACAAGCAACAGATTTGGTGATAGACTGGGCGGATGGTTGAGTTACTCGTACACATAGAAGACTTGCTAGTTGCAGATCCCGCGTCAGTCTGACATGTCAACCGACGAACTTGTTTCAAGAAGCTCTCGCCCAAACCGCTCTGAGTCGAATCGATCTTCGTTCGTCTCTGGCGTTGTATAGGCCATCCCATGCTCCATCCCAGCCTGTCCCGTCTCGTCTTGAAAGGCTTGCGTTCCTCCTTTCGATCTTCTGCCTTGTCCAAGATCCGCGCAATGTCCTCGCTCGGAGGTTTGTAATACGCCGTCAAGTGTTGAAGCACGTACTGTCACTGGAAGATCATCGTGAGGTACTTGATATTTGTGAAGACATCCTGCGTGTACCACGAGATGGACGGGGCGCGGAGAGAGGGGCGCCGTAATGCGTTGCAATAAGCGACTTTGGTATTCAGATCTTTCCACCTGCTTCTTTCCACCTGTTCAGATAGCTTTTGCCGTCCATGGGTCCAGTGCTCTCGCTTTTCGAAAACTTGTCACGAGCCTTTTCGACGCTTCGTACGATGAAGGGAGTCAACTGCAAAAAGGACGGCCCATCAGCGTCGTCACATCATACCGGATGAGCGATGAACTTACGTTGAACCCAGTCAAATCGGGGCAGACGTAGGTCCTGACCTTCTTGTAATCCACAATGTAACCGCCATACTTGGTATGTTGTCCCATAGAGCCCGTCCGATTCCCTTTGTAGTAGTTATGCGGGCCCTGCTTGGTGGTAAGGGCAAGTCGTCGGAGCGAGGAGCGCTTCCACAAGGCCTGTGTCGGCTGCATAACGATAGATGCTGGGCTCCGCGAGGAGGTGTGGTGGCGCAGTGAAGAGACGTTGCGCAGATGCGGATTGAATTGAAACGAAACTCAAGTTGCGGAGTTCGCGGAGGTGACACGGACCACTGCCAAGAATTTCATTCTTTCCGCCCTCCCGCCTTAAGTTCATATAATAAGATACGTCAGTTCACGAAATTTCTCTGGCATCAAGCACGCCCACCGCGCTCTGGGCTTACAGCAACTTTACCTTGACTATGCCTCCCAGGATAGCTCGGTCGACTGTGTCGGTCTCTGCTCCGAAGAAAGCGCGCGACAAAAATCGCAAGCGAAACCTCAACGCTTATTCCATCGCCTCACACTCTGTTCCGAGCGGCAGTGGTATCCGCCAACATCGCTTGGGAGAGTACCTGGACGATGCACCCCGGCCAAAGCGACCGCGCGTTGAAGAAGGATCTGGCGAGGAACATAGCGACGAGGATGCGGCGGATACCAAGCGACGGCGGCGTACAGGCGACGGCGGGGATGTTGAAGAGGGAAGTGACAGCGAAGGCAACGAGTGGACTCTCGGTGCCTTGAGAGAGGATGACAATGATAGTGAGCTGGATTCAGACGATGCCTTCGGCGAATCGGATGAGGAGCGGTTTGCCGGGTTTACTTTCAGAGGATCATCAAGTCAACGATCGAAGCACAAGGCCACAGCTCGGCCGAAGAGGCGTGGCGAGAAGGATAACACAGGCGAGTCGGCACTGGATTTTGATGATGGCAGTGAGGACGATTTGGAAGATGAAGGCGTAGACCTGGCGACAATGCTCGACGAGGAGCAAGAAGGTGTTCTTGATGGAGATGGGGACGGAGATGGCGAAAGTGAGGATGAAGAGCTAGGCACGGACTCGTCTTCGGACTCAGACGAGGAGAGCGATGGAGAGCAAGATGAGGAGGAGCGGCTCGCTCGTATGAGAGACCGACTGGAAGCCTTAGACCCTGCTCAGCAGCATGCGCCGCCTTCAACAACGCCTCAACACAGCACGCTGACCGTGGAAGACCTGCTTGCTGATCTGGACCCTGATGCGCGCGACCAATTCGCGGCACCTTTCAAAGCGCACAAGAAATCAGAGCAGTCAAAGACACTCAGCGCACCTCTACCGTCTCGTCAGCAAGGCAAGCTGAATCGCGAGGTAGCTTCCAAGAAGGCAAAGGAGCAATTGGATCGTTGGAAAGATACTGTGATGCACAATCGCCGAGCGGAGTTTCTCGCCTTCCCTCTTCAGAACCCCGATGAAGGCGAGGCAGTGGGGAAGGACACCTTTGTGCAAAGTCTGCCCCAGAATGAGCTCGAAGAGAATATTCGCCGAATTATGGAGGAGTCAGGTATGGTATCTAAGCTGGATCGGAACGTCGATGATGCCGAGGAGGCTCTGCTGGCTGGAGAAGAGCTTGCTGAGAAGCAGATGCCTGTTCAAGACGTCGTGAGAAGGCGAGCGGAACTGAGGCGGGCGCGAGACTTGTTGTTCCGCGAAGAAATCAAGGCAAAACGGATTGCAAAGATCAAATCAAAGTCCTACCGCCGTGTCCATCGCAAGGAAAGGCAGCGACTAGCCGAACGCGAGCGAGAACAAGAGGGTGAAGGATCAGATGAAGACGCAATACAACGCGCAGATCGATTACGGGCGGAGAGCCGCATGAATACAAAGCATCGCGATTCCAAATGGGCGAAAAGTCTGAAGGCGACGAACAGGACTGTGTGGGATGACGATGCTAGGGACGGCGTTCAAGAACAAGCACGACGACATGAGGAACTAAGACGACGAATCGCCGGCGACGCGATAGACGAGGACGAGGATGCTGAAGATCAGATTCTTTCGGATGGGTCGGATGACGATGCAATGGCAATCCAATTAGACAATCTGGACGAATCGCATCAGCATGATATTGGAGAGGAAGAAGGAAGGAAAGGCGTTGCAGGAATGAAATTCATGCGTGCAGCAGAAGCGAGGCAACGAAAGCAGAACGAGGAGGATATCGAAAGAATGAAGAGGGAGTTTGCCATGCAGAGTGGGGATGATGAGGACGAGCGAGATGATGAGCTGGCACAAGACCAAGGACTTGGGCGGGCAGTCTTCGGTCCAAAGCCAACGGAGGACGGAGCGATTGTGAAGACCAAGAGGCCAGAGTTGGAGGAGGGTGACAAGAGTGATGAGTCCGGCGAAGATCAAGGCCCTGCTGTCGTCAAGAGCAACGCTCCCAAAAGCGCAGTACAAAGGGAGCGCTACAAGGCTGGAGGAGTGCGCGCATCAAACTCGACGTCAGCCTCATCTGTCACACAGGCAAAGCGAACTCGGTCAAAGGATCATCCAGACGAAGGGCTCCTCGATCTCACAGAACATGCATCGGGCGACAAGAAGATCGAGAGGAGCAGGACTAAAGCACAGCCCACCCATGAGAAGCCAGCTACCACACGCGCGGGCGATGATAGCAACGGTTGGACGGTCGTCCAACACGAGGCTGGCGACGAGCAGCAGGAGTCTCAATCACCCCAGACGAACCCCATACTGAGTCAAGCCGAACAAAACGATCTCTTAAAACACCGTGCTTTTGCTGGTGCAGATGTCAAGACGGACTTTGATGCAGAAAAGGCAGCCCTGGTCGTGTCCGAGGATGAGAAAGAAATCGATACCCATCTTCCCGGTTGGGGCAGCTGGACAGGCGAAGGCCTTTCGAAGGGAGTGCGCAAAGCCAACAATCGCCAGCGCCATAACCCATTATACAAAACCAAACTAGCAGGCGTCAAAGCTGACGACCGCAAGGATGCTCGTTTGGAGAATGTGTTGATCTCGGAGAAGCAAGATCGCAAGGGCAAGAAGTACAAGGCTGACATGCTGCCGCATCAGTACGAAAAGAAAGAGCAGTACGAAAGGTCTCTAAGAGTGCCGGTCGGACCGGAATGGGTGACCAAGGCGACATTTCAAAAGAACACCAAGCCAAGAGTTGTGGTGAAGCCGGGCGCGGTGGTCCGGCCCATGGAGCGGCCTTTGATATAGACTGGTGAATACATCGAATTCAAACGTGTCGGTGTTTTGCCTCACGCGACTAGAGCGTATGCGAGACATTCTGTATTTGGTTGATGTGATTTCGGAGAGTGGTTTCGATGCAGGCCTACACTTGTGGAATTCTTACAATCGCAAGACTGCACCAAAAAGGGCGACAAGTCTAGTCCGACACTAGATGTCCATCTCCGCAGCGACGATTGGACGCTGAACGAGTCGTATGGCGAGCTTACCTAATCCCCGCCACGACGCCGAGTTGGCAGCTTTACTGAACAGGAACTTTGTGACCTCCACCTCCCTTGGGATTCCCAGCCTACTTCACACGCCGCGCGGAGGCAATGGTCGCGGCGGTAGGTGTCTGGAGGCTTGTCGCTTTATTCGTTGCATGGAAGGTCCTGCTCCTCCTAGTGGTTTGCGCCAGCCCGGGACCCGGCTACGACACATCAACGCGTGTCTTGTTTGATCAGCATGCACCAAGCCTGAGTTGGACTGCGCGCGCACTCGAGCATGCAGTACTCCGCTCAACCCGCTGGGATGGCATCTACTTTGCAACGTCTGCGGAA